GAGCCGCGTCCCGGGACCGCAGGAGGTGAGCGCGGGCGAATGGCGGGCAGGGCTGGCGGCGGCCGAGCCTCAGGCGCCGGAGGGGTCCCGGGCTTAGGCCCGAGCTTGCCCCGGGGCGGCGGGGCGCGGCCGGGGAGGCTGCCTGCCCTGCGCAGCGCCCGAGTCCCACGTGGGCCTGGCCAGAGACCAGGGTTGGAGTCGGACGGCGCCGGCGGGGCCGCTAGACCGGGCAGCAGGCCCCTGGGCTGGCCCCGGACAGGACGCCTAAGGGGACCCTGGGCCAAGGGGTACCAGATATGGGGGCACGACTAGAAGTTTAGAGCCCCTAAAAGAGAAGGGATCGCCCAGGGCAGGACCGCGGAGTCCTACCTTCGTCCCAGAAGTGCCTGCAATTCTGACCCTCCTCTGCCCTCCCCTTCCCTTTCTCCCGGGCGAGCACCAGGCGGCCCGGGCCGAAGTGTGTGCGTTGAGGCTCGCCAAGGTGGAAACAGGTGCGGAGTGGGGGGTGGGGGAGTTGGGCTCACATAGCGAGCCTGGGCCGGAGTTCGGATATTGGACCCAGGAGCCCGGACTTCTGGATTGTGAGGGGCTTGGAAAAGTTGGTCCCCTTGGATGTTCCTGCAGGGCACTGGGTTAGAGGTTAGAGAGGGGTAAGTCCCCTAGTGTACAGACTTTTCACCCCAGGGCAGAGAGGGAACCCAGGTCACAGGGAAAGACAGAGAGAAGGTTACTTGGTAGGGGTCGCTGAAGAAGGAGAGCTGAGAGGTGGGTGTGTCTGAGGAGTGAAGCCCCGAGGAGTTGGCCCTGCCCAGTGGAGTGGCTGCTGTTGTCTAGATGGCTAGGGTTAGGACCCCAGTGTGTGTGCCATTTGCTGGTGAGATAATGCTGCTGTCACTTTGTAGGGCAGGGAGTGTAAGGTGAGGCATGCTTTAGTGCAGTGGTCCTAATTAGGGATCAACTTTGTTTGCCATGGGAGATTTGGCGATGTCTGGAGACATTTTGGGGGCCGCACACTTGGGGAAGTGAGTGTTGTTGCTGCTGGCATGCAGTGGATGGAGGCCAGGGACCCTGCCAGACATCCTATAATGCACAGGACACATCCATCCCAAGATGTCCATAGTGCTGCACCTGGTCCATCACATTAGTTCTCGCTGATTGCCTCCCCCTGCCTAAGTTTCCCCAGTGGTTGGGAGAGGAACTTGGCATAAACCTAAATGAGATAGAGCTAAGGAGGTATGAGGGCAGGTAATTCTGTAGCAAGAGTCCTTCCTTGGTGCCCTGAGCCACTGTCTTCCCTGCTCTCCACGAGCCCTGCAGGTAGCAGGTCTGGTGCTGTGAAGGTTGCCTGGGTATTTCAGGCAGGTTGAGCTGAGACAGCCCTTGAGCTCAAATGGGGGTAGAGGAAGGGCAGCGGTTAAGCTCTGTTCTTATAGATTTTTCCCAAAACTGCATTGCTGAGGCCGGCATGGATGCCTGATGCCATGTGACCTGCTGGAATTTTCCCTTCTGAACTCACACCTGCATTCGTCAGTTATTTACACCAGGAAGGTGACATCCAAGGAGTAACAGGGTCCTGATTCCTGGGGCTCCCCAGCCTTCTTCTCTCTTGTAGTCAAGAAGCAACCCTGGGTTAGGCGAGAAGCCCAGGGTGGACCCAGCCACTGGTGGGGCAGGGCACCCCCTGCTCATGGCATCAGCTGAGCAGAAGTGAAAGACAGAAGACATCAGAGCTCAGGCCAGGCGACCCCCTCAGGGATGACTCAGAATTGTTTGAGTTGTGCTCAGGGAACGTGCTACCAGTTTTCTGGCAAGAAGGAACGGTGGCTGACTTGGTGGGAGAGGATAGAATGCAGCAGCCATGTCTATCCCCAGGGGCTGGGGTCACCCCACTGCCCTCCCTTCCTGTTTCCCTGGAGTGACCATCACCCCCGTCCTGTTCATGTCTGGACCTGGCCTCCTGGCAAGACCCAGAGCAAGGTGGAGGTTTCTGGTTTGGGTTTGGGGTTTTTTTCTTTTTTCTTTTTTTGGTCTTTTAACTGTAAAAGTCTGAAGTGAAACTCCTACTTTTCATTTGAACAAACAGTAACAGTGGCCCCATTGCTGTGTGACTCTCGAGGCACAAGACTGAGCTCTCAGACTTGTACAAAGTCATCCAGGAAATGAGCAGTGGAGCCCAGGTTTGAACCCAGCTGCCATCCCCAGGTCCAGCCCAAACCACCGGGTGGCTTCTACCTAGGTATACCTGATGTAATTTCACACGTACTCTGTCTCCTTATCTTTCCCCTGCCCATGCTTCTGCTCCTGTAAGAGAAGGAATAAATCACACACAGATACTTTGAAGGGCACTGGGTTCTGAGTCCTGCTCTGGCGTCAGGAGCCCTGACACTGCTGGGGTCTCTCCACCAGGTCCTATTGATGTGTAAATTGCCCTGGACCAGATAAGAGCAGAAGCCTGGGGGCTGTGAGTGCGGGTTGGGGCGTGGCTTGGGTGAGCCACTGCACACTTCCCTTTGGGTCCGACCCCTGCCTGGCCTGGTGCAGCAAAGGGGAATCTGTGTATTCTGGCTGCCTCTCCCCCTCCACACATTCTCTTTCCTTCCCTCGATCTTTGTGTCACACACTGTGGAACTGGCCTGGCCGCCCCCGGGGGTTTCCAGAGTGAGCTCACAGCGTCTGCACTGTCGGAATTAGCTCCCAGTTTCCTATCCAGCTGGGCCAGGCTGGGGGAGGAGTGCAGGCTGACCTCAGTGACAGCCGGGCTGGGGCAGCTCTCAAGACACAGTCGTCCTCGCAGGAAGAACCAGGGCTTTCCCCAGACTGCCCCATGAAGTTGTTCTTGCCTCTCTGTGGGAACTAGACAGGAATAAAGAAAAGCCCTTTCTCTCTCTTCTTTAGGGAAATACAGAGAGCCGCCATGCCCACCTCCCTCCTTCAGTAAATTTATCCAAGGTCCCAGATGCAAGTTGTTTGTGTTTCACAAACCCCACAACCCTGAGTCCCTCCAGGAAAGTGATTTCAGCTGTGTGGGCAGTGCAGGCGGTAGACCAATCAGCGACACCGCCTGGAGCATGGGGAATATTGTGACTGGCAGAGAGGTTGGGGGTCGATTCCAAGCTCGGGGAGCCAGGCCGAGGTCCAGGAGCTTGCAGGCAAGGTGGTCTACTTATGTGCTTAGTAGGATGGGGTTGCTTAACAGTCCGTGCCTCAGTTTCCCCAGCTGTACAGTGGGTTAACAGTAGCTGATCTGTATAAGTGAGAATTCCAGTGGCGATTCATGCGCAGCTTTCAGCTTGGTGCCCAGCCATGGGAGGAGCAGTCATGGGAGCCATCATGATTGTGGTATCGGGGCTGCGGCTTCTGTTAGGGGCGTGGCTGCCTGCCTGTGCCACAGACTCGGGTGATGGCAGAGGCCCTACCTCGGGGGCTGCTGGAGGACTTGAGGGGAACAGGGGAACACACATACCGAATGGCAGCACTGCTATTCCAGAGGTAGCTGTGTCTGGGGCGGGGGACCTCAGTGCTTTGGTGGTCAAGGGATTGGAAGGTGGCTTTCCCTCTGGGCGTGAACTGCTGAAGCTCTGCCCAGGGGTTTTCCCAGCCTTTCAGTGTGTGTGTCGCCAATAGTACTGGGAGGCTTGGGGCAGGTCATGGAGGTGGTGACCCTCAGCTTTGCTTTCTCTGGCCAAGGCTCTTGGGGCCGGGAGTGGGGTGGGCCGCCCCCCTCATTTGGCCCCCTCGCCTGTGCCAGCAGCATCCTCAGGTGTGCAGGGATGGCTTCCTGTCCCTGGTCCCAGGTAAGAAGCCTCTTTCCCCTCTCCCATCAGTCTCCCCAGTTTGACACCTCCGTGTGGCTACAAGAAGGACTGGAAGAGAAGGAATCCACCATGGGATTTGGGGTGGGAGCAGTACTTAGAACCCTGGCCTGGGCTCCTTATGACCTTGTCAGCCGGTGAGGATGACAAGAGCTGCCTCTCGCCCTCACCCTCAATTAAATGAGATAATGTTAGCCGGGCTCGGTGGCTCAGCCTGTAATACCGTGCCTTTGGGAGGCTGAGGTGAGCGGCTTGCCTGAACCCGCGGGTTCGAGACCCGCCTGGGCAATTTGGCGAGACCTCACCTCTACAACAAATCAAAACTTAGCCGGGCGTAGTAGAGTGCGCCTGTAGTTCCAGCTACTTGGAAGGCTGAGGCGGCAGGATCGCCCGAGCCCAGCAGGTCGAGGCTAAGGTGGCTGGGAACGGCCACTGCACTCCAGTCTGGGAGACAGTGTGAGACTCCAACTCAAAAAAAAATAAAAAGAAGGGGGAGAGAGGGAAGCCACTTGAATAAATATGTGGATAACAGGGTTATGGAGCAATAATGGAGAAGTTGATAAAGTCCTAGTGAAACTTCAGGGAAACTGTTAATTCTAGTTAACCTCTCTAACCTGTTTCCCCATTTTTATAATGGCGACTAATATCAGCACTATCTCATAGTGTTGTTAAAAATACTAAATGACGCAATAAATATGAAATGTTAGCACGGTGTCTGGCACATGGTGTGAGCTGCTGTCATTATTTTTGGGGAAAAGTGTTATAATGATTATTAGAAGTCAGAGAAAACTCACCGAGCAGTAACATTAGAACTGGGTCTTCAAGAATAGGGAGAGAGAAGAAGAAACAAGAGTCCTGTTTGGAAGGGCAAGAAGCATTCAAGCAAAGGTACAGAATCGGAGAAAGGCATACTGTGAACCTTGAAGAAAGATGAGTGAAGCAGTTGCTAGAACAGATAGCATGATGGAAGATGGCTCTCATCTGCAAAGAACCATGTACTCTATGCCAGAACGCTTAACTTCATCCTGTGTCTAGTACACAGTCATTAACAATGTTCAAGCAGCAAAGTTGCATGATCAAATGTATGTTTTTAGGAAGACGGCAGTAACGAGACTAGAGATAGTTAGACCATGATATTATTATTATTATTATTATTATTTGAGTCGGAGTCTCACTCTGTCACCCAGATTGGAGTGCAGTGGCCGCTCCCGGCCACCGCAGCCTCGGCCTACTGGGCTCCGGCGATCCTTCCGCCTCAGCCTTCCAAGTAGCTGGAATTACAGGCATGCGCCACCACGCCCGGCTGATTTTTTTTTTGATTTATTGTAGAGATGAGATCTCGCTGCCCAGGCGGGTCTCGAACCCGCGGGCTCAGGCAATCCACTCACCTCAGCCTCCCAAAGGCGCGGGATTTCAGGCTGAGCCACCGAGCCCGGCCATGATATTATTTTACATGAGAAAAGTAAAATAACAAACACATAATGCTTAGTATGTGTGCATGCTAAATTTTTACCACATATTTACATTTATTGATTCTTATGGCATCCCTACAAGGTGGATGCCATTATTAGCTCTATGATAGAGATGTGCAAACGA